GTCATTGTAATTTATTCAGGAGGTTCCCCAAATTCCCCCTTTTCACGGTTGTAGACACGGAGGGGTCTTCGAAGGATTTTAAAATATGTTTTTATGGAAATTATTTCCAATTTGTTTATTTTCTTGTGACAGTTGCTAGAGGATGTCTGGATTTTGGGGTGGAAAATGCGTGTTTGTAACATATTTTAATTTTATTTTTTACTTTACTGTTTTTGTTTTTACAAGGTATAGAAAGTTATTTTTCATAACATTTCCTAATAATAAGGAGTTTGGAATTGTGCCCGGTATATGGCCATAGGCGTACCCCCTATTACATGGGACGGATAACATAAATAGTGAAAAGTGGGTGTTACATTGTACAGTTGCATAATGTGTACATCTGCCTACCTCTTCGGGAATAAAAGGCGTGATGTTATGTTATGTTATTTTCTAATGATTAATTCATAAAACAGTTTACAGTATCAATGCGAACCATTCAGAAGCAATATCTACTATTTAATTAGTACCTGCAATAAAATAACTGTAACACTTTTTTAGTTAAATTAAAGGTTACAACCACTAAATCAATTGACCACGTATAAGGCATGACAGCTACTCACCGCAATGACGTCGAATCACCACAAAACACACCATTATTATTAAGACATCAATCACTTAAGAAATTTTCTCATCGATAAAGATACACAACATATCGGGCGCTCCGTTAACCATCGTTTTCGTGAAATCAGATAATGTGGTCAAGTATGGCCACCAATCACATTAGACCCCATATCTGTTATATGGTCAATGGTTAATTACGACTGCCATAACAGTTAAGATATTGACGTTCCTTTATACAATGTCTTCATATGAGCCCTATACAAAAAAATGTCGTAATTAATCTCCCCCCTGTCATTTTTAACTCGCGTATAATTTCTTTAAGAGAAACCTTAATATCGGCTCCGGGATATCATCACGACGTATATGGGATGCCATTAAGAGTATCAGCAGCGATAACATCAAGAATGATAGGTTTTTGGGTGGTGTTTAAGTTGTAAAACAAATACGGGGTAGGGAGGGGATTGTATGTTTTACAGTTATTTATAACTTCATTTTTATGGCGAATTATAAGTGTTTCCTTATCCTGAGTAGGTGGTCGATGCCATTTTTCTTTTTACCGTTCATTGGTAAGTCTTTATACTTACATATGACGGAATATTTTGTTTGTTTATTTAATCTTGACTGATCTTTAATCAAGAATCTACTCAGTAGGTTAAGCGTTTATGAAAAATACCCATTTTACCGAGATTTGTGGTTAAAATTGAGGTTAATTTCAATGAACAAATAATATTTATTGTAAATACTTAAGCAGGTAATTAATAATACATAATTAATTAAATTCATACCTGAATATAACTGCATCAAAATGCAATATTAATAAACAATTTGACTAACACACCAACCGTTTCTAATTAAACACTAATTTGTTATCATCACATTAAAACTGACGGATTTAAATTAAAAATTCTTGATCGCTGACTCATTCCATAAATTATCTGTGCCTAAAACAAATGCCAACAAGACAACCGCAAATAAAGCTAAACTAAACAGTCAAACACCACTCGATTATCAATTTTATTTCAGAAATGGGAAGGTTTAAAATTACGTGAAGGTTTATAGGGTAGCTTGATGTGTTGTCATTTGTACAATTTGTAAGTGTTGGCGTGATTATAGGGCCCATTAGACCGGTTCCCGAGTGAGTACACTAATAAAATATTTAAAAAAAGGTTCGATATGCAGTAGCTAACTAGACGGCTGTGTCATTCTCTTATACAATCGTTGAGAAAAGTGTTAAATAAACGCATTTTGTATTTATAAAAAAATATAGAAAAATATAGCCCTTTTTTTGAAACTGATTTATAACACGAACAATTGATAAACATGACTAGAATCTCAAGTAATTTTAAAGTTATAATGTGTTGTAATTTCTTTCGAATAAGACCTCCACAGTCGAGGAAAAACTTAATTTCTCCATCGTTATAATGATTATTTAATTGCATGTTACACTAACGTAATATTAACTCTCAAACCCGTATAATCTTTTATCAATTACCTTAATCGTTCAAAATTTCGGCTTAATCTCTCATCTGTCAGTGGTTTAGTAAGACAACGTAACATCACACCTTTTTCATTCTAAAGGTATAGCCACAGGCGCTATTATTAAACATAGCATCCATTTTTCTCTGGTTTTGTTAGAAGGCCTATTCATTGGGGGCGAACCCACTGTCGTACATCAGACTTCGTGAGAAGTTTCTAAAAATTAAATAATATTAGGTTAAACTTGATCCTCTTCCTCAGTTTTAAAGATATCTTCCATAGTAACTATATTTTTTTAAATAACTCCGTGAGTGACTGTACCACTGCAATCAGTTTAAAAGCCTAACCCCACCGTGATTAGGCGGCGCCGGGGGGCGCGGTGTAGGCGCGGCGGGGAGGGGAGATGTGGTCATTAACTCATTAACGATGGCCGTCATTACACGGCTAGTGACAGTAATGACGATATTGTGCTAATGTCCTAATATTCTGAGCGTAATGGTCACCCTAGTATTAATTTAGAGAAATTAATTATAACCTTGAATGTGGAATTTCTAAATTCGTGTTGTTTGTGGTTAGATTCCCGAATTGAAGAAAATAGGAATACTTTTTTTTATCTTTATTTTATAAAATGGCAACCCTATCATAGGATACAAAAAATCAGTACATACTACTACAATCAAGAAACTAAACCGTTTGCAGGTTTAGCTTGCAGGGATACATTTGTGAAATTCTACATAAATTGCTTAAGAGTATTTTAAGAATAGTATTTATTGAAATTTGGTACAACATATGAATACTTAAATAATAATAAAATAAGAACTAAGATTAAATGTTTATATTTATGTTTCTTAATTGCTTAATGTAAATTAGTTTCGTATGCAAAAAAATGTCTCAACTGTTCAGTATCTAAATGAAAAATCAGTGTTAACGAGATAAGTTTTAGCTAGTTACTGTATTCATAACGAAAATCATCTTTCCAAATACTTTCCAATGTCGCGGAGAACCTAACGGATTACCTGGGCTCCGGCTCGAAGTGCAGGAGAAGGAATGGCGTGGTTTTTAGTCAGTAAGAATCTGACATTCCCTCCCGTCTCACCCAGGCGGGATAAGAGCACAAATTCGATGATTTTCCCCCCTTAAAAAAACATACTTTCCAATAATTTTCAAGTCTGAATATCAATCAGTAGATTAGGAAACCTTCATAACATTCGACGTTTAAGAAAAAAGGTGGTAGAAAATAGTCATTACTTAAATTCTCCTCGTTTTAATTGAAAATGATGATAACCTTTCATTTGAATATTAATTACTTGTGTCTATAAGTCAAAATTAATTAGTTTTTAATTCAATTCTGGGTGATTTACGGCCTTGTTTGTCTAATGGTTGCTAGCGTGCGTGTACTGATAAATAAAAAGTCCCAGAGTTGAAGAAAGTTGGTATAGGTAATAAGGCTTTTCGCTTAGTCTGCCACACAAAACTCGAAAATAATTATTGTTAGATATCTTTTGAGGAAACGTAGTTTTAATAAATACTTACTTAGTAGGTACCCTACTTTACCCGACTACCTATTTAATTTGACATTCAATATCGTAATAGTGGTACGGGAAAAACTCTTGTTCATGAGACTCATATTAAAACTGGCGAAGTGAGTGTACCTACCACGAAATACACTATTAATTAATAACATTTTGATCTATGCAATTAATAACCTTTATTAATTAAGAAAGGAAATACAAATCAAAACAGATTTCAATTATAAGTAGTTAAAAACCATTAATCATCAACGAAAAAGCGTTTTCACAAACAAAATTGAATCGAAGTCATAAAGATGGATCGTCTTCAAGCCAAATTAAGTTATTACACGATATTTCTTATTTCGTTACATTGAATACTCCAATGCGACGGCCGCCATATTTGGCAAGTAATGGAGGTTGGGTAAAAAAGCGGGAAAGACATTTTAAGTAATAAAACCTTTTTCGGATATTTAAAAACGAAAAATTCTGTGCTGTTTTGTTAATAATTACAAAAGGTTTTTTATTATTATGTGATAAGTATATTAATTGTTTTACGAAAGTATTATTAGTTAACAGTTACCATCGTCTACTTGCACTCATTTACAATTGCGAATTTGTAAAATGTAATGCTTATTAATAGCTGGAAGTTGTCTATTAGGATTTGCACATACATCCTATCTGTTGATGGTTAAAGAGTCAGATACTCGATTAGTATTAATAAAATTCGTAAACGCAATCACGTAAGTGACGTAATCCTTAAATGGCAGTTTAATAAAATTCTGTTGCTCTTTAAGCCTCCTATAAAAACATCTTCATTAAACGATTTCACGTAACCGTGACATAAAGAAGAACATACATAAATTGCTGAAAATAAATGTTAAATGCTGAATTACGCTTATGGAATGATTTCTGTCGTAAATCATTTTAAAAGGTTGAGAAAGACTTGCAGTGTGCTCATGTCAAAGATTTCTCATCGAATGATTTATAACCTCAAAAATACTAAACGTCAGATGAGCAATGCTTATTTAATTGTGAGATATTATCTGTGGGAAGTATCGAGTATTCTGCCTGAGGTGTTGCCATGTTAAAATTCAATTCACATTTCGCGCGCTGTCACTTATTTTTATTTTTATTATCTCAAAATCTTCGTGTGGATGGTTGATTCTTTTATTGAAATTGACAGATGTCTTTTTGTTTGTTTTATATGTTACGATAAAAATTAAATTAACAATATTAGCTGTAGGTGTCTAAAATATTTTGTATGTCGTTGATTTTTACAAAGTTAAATTTTTTGACGATCATCTCTCTGATATTTATTTAGTTTCCCTGTATTTCTGATAATTTAATGCTGTAATTAAATGAAAATGTATGTTTATTGACATTTTTAACACTATTCTTGTTTTTTGTTCTCAGGAAACAACGCGGATCGTCAAGGTCGCCAGGTGGATCAGAAATCGAACCAATGGTTTGGTGCGACGCTGACCAGTACTGGCAGGAATGGTGCTATCATGGTGAGTCGGATTTTTTAGCTTTTATTGACTTATTGGTAAGGTTACGGATAATTTTTTACAAAGAACATATTGGTCTATTAGGCGGTTAAAGTTAAATTTACTTGCTGGCATTACCTATATAATTTATAAATATAATTTTCAAAAAAGTTTACCCATCGTCGTTAAAATGCATGTTCTTTTTACCTCTGTTTTACTTCTGATGATAGTAGTATAAAATTATTAAATTATTAAAAGTATATAATTATTCTCAACGGCTAAAATCAATGAACTAACCAGCATTCTTCATTAACTTCATTCCCCGATGAGCAATAGCTAATTTCGCGATTGCGCTCCGATTGCGCTGGATCCTGCCCATCAACAAGAAGCTAGTCGTCAACAAAATCACATACTTAAATAATTCCATCGATAACACCTCACAGCTTTAGTTTCACAACAAACGAAATCTCAGCATTATTTTCTTTACGAGCTTGAGCGACTCCATGACCTCATACACCGGTGACCTATAAAGCTGATGGGATGTCTTGACAGGCACACCCTTCCTGCCCTGCCCTGTCCTCAAGGTGTTCAGCCGTAATGATCGTTCTATCTTTTGTTATCGCATCTATAAGTCCACCTATGTGACGTCATTGTGTTTCATTTGTTTTGATGTTGTTGCTCTTTGCGATTTGATTGGGAATGTTAGGTTTTTGTACCCTGTGTGTTGATGGCCGAGCAAAATGTCTCCTGCTTATCACTGCTCCTATTCTCCTCGTGGATATCGTAAGAACCGAGTAAGGGACTGCACAGTTAATTGTCATTCTTCACAATATATTATATTGCATATCAAAGATTGGTAATAAAAACATAAGTTGTTAATTGCTGTTGGAACCTGGATTGAAGTCGTGCAGCAATGAGGAAATTCATTTTCATTTTCATCAACAGTCTATGAATACCCACTGCTGAGCAAAGCCTCTTCTCACACGGAGAAAGTTTAATCACCACGCTTATTCTATGCGGGTTGGCGATTACAAACTTATAATTAGAAATTATAAGCCCAGGTTTCATCACGATGTTTTCCTTCACCGTTTGTCAGTGGTGTCTAAATAATCTTAGAAAGTACATATAACTCGGAAAAAAGTCACATTGGTACTTGCACTTGGTAGGTTTCATGCATGAGAAACGGGCGTCTTAAAACTCCGGGCCACCACGAAATTTGGAGGAAATGCCTCCTAACAAAGGTATAAAATCAAAATATGTATAAAGCCAAACTTCATACAAACCTGATAGCTCCTAAAATGTATACTGCTGTGAAGACAATAGCCACGAAGGAGGCTCCATTAATCTCGGCACCCCATTGTTGACATTTGGCAAGTGGGTCAGTCCAAGGCCTCATGGCTATAGGGTTGAACACCATTAGGTTATGGGGTCGTCTTTATGGTTTGTTGACGTAGCGGCTATCTGTGGGGCGAAATTGGGTTTCAGGGTTATGTAGGACGGATTTCTTGGTCGACTTGTGCTTCATTCGGATCTTTCTAAAACAGCAAATGGTCAATAAACTTTGGTCTTTACCACTCCTTTTTGTGTTTTTATTTGGGTTCAAAACGTAGAAAATCTCTTAATGATGAATTAATACATATATGTAGATTATTGTTTCTTTATTCCCTGTACTGTGTATTTATAATATAGTTGCATTTTAATTAAATAAACATAAAATACAAGTATCTGACAGCTTCGTTGTTCCATAAGTAGCAGTTCCTGACAAATGTTATTACTTTCCCGAAAAGCAGCAAGCAGTAGCCCATACCACTTTACTTAACATAAAATCAGTCATTCAAATCGAAGTGCAGCATCTGACGGTGCGGCCATATTAATTCAAATGGAGTGCAACCGTTTACCGCACACATGTTGCAAATAAATTTCATTACTCACGCACTTCGCACGAACACTGCGGCTCGGTTTCAGAACTTTTTTCCCCAAGTCCATATTTGAAATCAGTCAGGAGACGCCTTCGTCGAAGACCTGAGACCACATAGTTTTTGTCTCTCTATTTAAGGAGTTGGAATTTTTATTTCGGAATGCCGAATTAGTGCAAAAAGCCGACTCCCTCGACGAGCCAGCAATTTGTTTAGGCATTTTGTTCCATTTGCTGTGGGGACAGAAACGCGATGGGAATTTATAATTGTTCGAACGCATAGGCTGTATCTATAGTTGTCTGTGCCTTTATCAACAGTGATGTGTCGTGTGCATTTTAGTAATTTGTTTTTAAAATATGGAATAAGTATTGATTTTGTTTCGTTGTTCGAAATTCAAATGAACTTTATTATGAAATTCATAACTGTATTTGATGACACATGAAAGTATATTAGAATACTAAAATTAGAAAGTAATAGATAATAATAATAATAAAGCCCTTTATTCTGAATTTTTACATTACGAGTTGTTACAAAAGGTTACAGTATATCTCTTAATTCAGTGTGTCTTTTGGCAAAGGCCTCCTCTAGCTGTCTCCATTGAATTCTGTCGCGGGCCACTCTTCTCCAGTTGGGTCCCGCTGTTAGCCTTAGTTCGTCCTCCCATCTTTTTAACTGCTTTCCTCTGTTGCGTTTACCGTCTCTTGGATACCAATCAGTGACTATCTTGCACCATTTTTCCTTGTTTTCTCTCATCATATGACCGGTCCAACGCCATTTTTGTTGGTCAATTCTTTTTAAGATGTCTATAACCTTTGTTTTTGCTCTTAGTTGGTCGTTACTTACATGCTCCACCTTATGTATACCTATCATACTTCTTTCCATGGATCTTTGACAGTACTGAAGTTTGTTTCTATGTTGTTTTGTGAGGGCCCATGTTTCACATCCATATGTTATACAGGGTAATATGCAGGTGTTAAAAACTTTTCTTTTAATAGCAGTTCCCAGCTCTCTCGATTTCATGATCTCTTTTAACGACCAATATTTCCTCCAGCCACTGGCTATTCTCGAGTTAAGCTCTTTGCTGGTTTGGTCTTTTGCTGATATTATTTGACCCAGATATGTGTATTCGTCTACATACTCGAGTGGTTTTGAATCGACCATTATTGTTACTTCGTTAGAGTTTGTTAGCAGTTTTGTTTTTGTTGTATTCATGGTCAATCCAACCGAGGCACTTTCTTTGCTTAAAGTTTGGATCATAAGTTCAAGATTGCCTGGACCCTCCTCGAACAGGATTATATCATCAGCAAATCTGAGGTGGTTTAGTTTTTTGCCATCAATGTTAAGGCCCAGGTGTGTCCAATCTAGTTTGCGGAATATATTTTCCAGTACTGCAGTGAATAACTTTGGTGACATAGGATCGCCTTGCCTTACTCCTCTTCTCACTTCGAATTCCGGCCCTGTCTCTTCTAGCTGTATTCTTGCTTTGGTGTTTGTGTATATAGTCTTGATAAACTTTATATACACCTCAGGTATGCCTTGGTTAGTTAGGCTTTCCCATATAGACTCATGACTTATGCTGTCAAATGCCTTGTTATAATCAATGAAGGCCATATATAGAGTTTTATTGTATTCATTATATTTCTGCATTATCTGTTTCACTGTGTGGATATGGTCTATTGTGGAGAACTTTTTCCTAAAACCGGCTTGTTCTATCGGCTGGTTATCTTCTAGTTTTTGTGTTATTCTTTCTAATATGACTTTCGAGCATACTTTATATAGGTTGGACATAAGACTTATTGGCCTATAATTACCTATGTCCCCTCTTGAACCTTTTTTGTGCAGTAATATGATGTGTGAAGTTTCCCACTGTGTGGGTATATACTGTTCGTTCAACATTCTATTGAATAATTTTGATAGTATTGGGACTAGTTCTTCCGATGTTGCTTTGAGTAGTTCATTGCAGATATTATCCGGGCCTGGCGCTTTTTCCATTTTTTGGCTCTTGATTGCCATGTCTACTTCACTGTGTAAGATTTCTGGTTCTGTCTCTAATTTTGTAAGTTCAAGTTGTGTTTGGCCCGTACTGTTTATTTGTTGTGGGAGGCAATGGTCTGCATATAAATTTTTGTAAAATTGTGTTGCTGTTTTAGAAAGTAATAGATAAGATTGCAATAATTATCAATTAAAATACTCATTAACTGGCGACCACTACAGTTTTATGAGAAAAGTTTTATTGCTAAACTAGCTGTTGCCCGCGACTTCGTCCGCGTAGATTAATGACTTCTGACAGAATCAATTCAGTGCCCAAGTAAGATTTACCTATTTTGAAATGATTTATCGTAGTTTCAATAAATAAATAATCCCGCAGGGATCTTACCAGTACAGTGCCCGATCACGTAAGGTTTGAGTAATAAAAACTATTCTATCGACTATTGTTGTACCGAATCTCTCTAAAATAAGTTCAGTGGTTAAGAGTTAGACAGTCCCGGGGCATTGACGCATAGTTCCCGTTCCCGTGGGACATCTGTGATAAAAACTATCAAACGTTACCCAGGTCCCAAATCATCGTTTTACCGAATGTAATTCAAAAAGATTCAATGATTCTAAATTCAATGACTAAGAAGATTTATACAAACTCTCATTCCCTATTTTATCCCCTTAGGGGTGGAATTTATCAAAATCCTTTCTAAGGAGATACCTATGTCATAGTAAATTTATGCATGCAAAGTCTCAGCCCGATCAATTTAAAACTGGCAAAGTATCATACTTTGGGGTGAGAATGTTCAAAAACCTTTATAAAGGGACGTTTACGTCATAATATCCACCTGCACGCCGAATTTCAACCCGATCGGTGTAAAATTGACAAAGCTTCATACAAACGTTCATCCCCTACATTACCCCATTGGAGGTGGAAATAATCAAAATCCTTACTTGGAGATGCCTACGTCATAACATCTACCTGCATGCCGAATTTCATCTGCATCGGTGTAAAACTGACAAAGCTTCATATAAACTTTCACCCCCTATTTTACCCCCTTAGGGGTGGAAATGATCAAAATCCTTTCTTAGCGGATGCTTATATGATAACATCTATCTGCATGTCAAATT